GCACCATCTCCTACAACTCTTTCTCCATCCCCTTCTTTCTGGGGCCCATGGAGTCCTGTCTTTCTCAGGTGCCCTGTAGTTGATTCTCTCTCCTCTGGGGTTTTGCACATTGTCTTCACTCTGACTGAAATCCCTTCCCCCAGTATCATACCTAGTTTGCTTCCCTTGTTCACATCTTTTTTTTTTTTTTTTATTGTGCAGTTTTTGGCTGGGGCTGGGTTTGAACCTGCCACCTCCGGTATATGGGGCTGCTGCCCTACTCCTTTGAGCCACAGGCGCTGCCCTCCTCGTTCACATTTTTGCTTAATGTCATAGTCTCAAGAAGTCCTTCCCTGACAACCCCATTTAAAAGTGCAGCTACCACTCCTCTCCTCCCATGCTCTCCCAACACTGCCCGCCTCCCCCAGTCCTGGCAGTTCGTATTCCCTCCCCGGTTTTATTTTTCTCCATAGTATAGAGTATCTTCTCACATCCTAAATAATGCACTTGGGTTTTAAAAATTTTTTTGGTCTAACTGTTCAACTAGAATATTTTGCTCCATGAGAATAAGAATTTGTATTTGTTTTGTTCACTGCTATATCTCAGCTCTCAGAACAGGCCTTACATAACAAATGCTCAATAAATATTTGTTGATCAGCAAAGACAAAAAATTAGATTATACCTTGTACTGGTGAGGGGATAGGGAACTTGATACTGGCACAAGCGGCTAGTCAAAGTATACACCGGGATTATCTTTTTGGAAAGTAATTTGGCAAGATCCATCGAAATTAAATAGTTATGTTATATATGACCCAGCATTCAACTGCCCATCATTTATTCAGTGAGTCCTGCAGATGAGTCCAAATTACATTGGTTTAAGGATGTACTGGAATCAATCTGAATGTCCATCAGTAAAGGTCTAGTTAAATAACAGGTGGGCATCCCCCGGACTGCATAGCACAAAACTGCCAGGAAGAGAGAAGAAGATACCCAGGTACTGATATGATACAGTCTTCACGATACACTGCGGTTCAACAAGCCAGGTGGCCACTGATTAGGTAAAAAAGGAGAATATGTACATATATTTACAAGTTTGTATAAGCACAAATACAGCTCTATATAAACAAACATAAATAAACACAAGAGTACTCTGGAAACTCACCAGTGGTTGTCTCTGGGGACTAGTTTAGAACTGGGAGATTTGAAACAATTGTGAATATATTACTTTAAAAAAATCCTACCGCTATAATGCGTTAATCCATACTTTTGCTAACTTTTACTCTGTGTGAGGCTGGCATGTTAAAAAATATGCCTTAAACCCTGTTTTAAAGGTCTGAAGGATGTAGGGGAGAACCTTTTTATTTCTTCTTGCAGTGACTTTAAGAGGTAGGAAACGACTCAGCCCCACCCCAACCTCGTGCTGTCTGGCCCCAGGGCTTTCCCCTCCCTCCCGCCCCCAGCCCGGTTGCCCGCGGTTGGTGTCCTGGGATTTTGCTGCCGGTCTGGAGTCCCCGCTTCCCCCTTAGAGGGCAGCAGCGGAGCGTCTCGGGGACGCATGCGTCCCGATTTGCGCTCCGGGAATTAAAAGGGTATAGAAAAAGCCCCAAGAAAACCCACGCCCCAAACAAAACGCAAGTAAGTAGGGTAGGGCCCTGGTCCGGCCGCCCTCGCCCACGTCTCCGGCCGCGGCGGGATGCGCGCGGGCTGGCCCGCGACGCCCGGGCCGCCACTGTCCCCACACCTGGACGCCGGCCCGGTGGCCGCGCTCCAGACGCGATCGCTCGCCGCGGCAGCTAGCTCCGAGGCTCCCGGCGCCGGTGGGGCCCTCGATCTCCATGGGGCTGAGGGACTGGCTGAGGAGCGTGTGCTGCTGCTGCCCGTGCAAGTGCCTGGAGGAGCCTGCCCTGCCGGAGAAGGAGCCCCTGGTCAGGTGGGTGCGCGGGCCGGCCAGGAGCTGGGCCACCTGGCCGCAGCTGGGCGTCGTGGAGCGCGGGGACGGTGTGCCCTCTGAGCTGGGGTGGGTGGGCTTGCTGTAAGGGCACGCGGAGACGCCAGCTCAGCCCTCTGCCCCTTACAGGGTATCTTGGGTTTGTTAACTTAGGTAAGATTTTGCCCCAAAGTGTAAATCCTCGGAGTCGTCTGAGACCCAGTTGGATGTCTGTGGTCAGTGCGGAGGATTCAGGTGTAGAGCGTGGGCAGGGAAGTTCGGAGAGAAGTTTCCGTGGGGGTCTGATAAAATCCGAGAGTGGAGGGCTATTTGGTAGGTATATTACTGTGGAATGGGCAACTAGCATTTTTATTCACTCAGCAGAAGAGTCGGATACTTCTCATTCCATTTTATTACCAGAAGACAATTTCAGTGATTGAACACAAGGAAATATTTTTCACATGAAAAAATTCATGTTTTATCAAGGGACAGGATATCCACTAGGGTGCTGATTCCTTACAGGTTAAGCTGTGAAGTGTGAGGAAATTTAATGCTCATTAAGCAATATGTCAAGAGGCTTTGTGAGGGGACCATACAGTTCAGTTTTGTGGAGGGCTGGTTGTGATTTTAAGCAAGGACTTTACATCTTGACTTTACTGAAATTAAGATTTGACTAGGGTATGCCTCAGGGGTTGGGCATGAAGAAACAGAATATTTAAAATGAAATCAGGAAATAGTATATAAAAGCAGATTCCAGGGTTGGGTAAGCAAATACTGAAGCCAGAGTTTCTTTCTTAATAGGCAACTTTCACAACTTTTTCTAAAGAATGATTTACCTTTTCTTACTCTATCAAGTTCAAACACTTCCCTTGACTTTAGAGGTCTTACATAACCCCTTCCTGCCTGTCCACTCTTATTTTCCAGGACATTAAACACTGTCCACTCCTCGCTGCTATGGAAGGAACAATCCACTCTTCCTCCAAGCTTGTCTCAAGTGGCGACTTTATCCTTGCTGCCCCTTCCTTAAATGCTGTTTTCTCAAGGCCTTCTCAGCAGCCTTCTTTGATTACTTTGCTCTTATTCATCATCCTCTCCTATGAATTTTTTTTTTTTTTTTTGAGACTGTCCTGTTGGGTCGAATGCCATGGCATCACAGCTCACAGCAACCTCCAACTCCTGGGCTCAAGCGAATCTCCTGCCGCAGCCTCCCAAGTAGCTGGGATTACAGGCACTCGCTACAACACCTGGCGATTTTTTGGTTGCAGCCGTCGTTGTTTGGTGGGCCTAGGCTGGGTTCGAACCCGCCACCTTAGGTGTATGTGGCTGGCGCCTTAGCCGATTGAGCCACAGGAGCTGAGCCCTCTCCTATGAATTGTTAAAGTATAAAATATTAATTAAAGGGGTAGGGGCACGAATGTTTTTACTAACATGGATATCTTGTATAATGCTAAAGTCAGGGCTTTGGGCGTGCTCATCACCAGAATGGTGTTCACTGTACCAGATAGGTTTGTTTTTATACCACACCTACTCTCCTGTCCTCCCCCATTCTTGGTTTCTCATGTCCTTTGTATCATTCTATGTACCCATCTATTAACTCCCACTTAGTAGTGAGAACATCTGGTGTTTAGTTTTCCGTTCACTATGACTTTAAAAAAGACTTAGCATTTGCCATCTATGACTCCATGTTTAATAAGCACACGTATATAAACATGGATGTTGTGTGTATTATATGTATATGGTCATCCACAAACGATGCACATCGTTTTTGACTGCTTAGATTTGTGCATAGTCCCACTTAGATTTGTGGATTGTTATAGGCAGGGAAAAACCAAATTATCCCTAGTCCAAGAAGTGGTAGGTAACAATCTAGAATTTTATGCTTCCGTTTATACTCTGAACTTGTCAATGCTCTTTGTAACTTGAAGTACAGCTTTCAACTTAGTCTCATCCTCAGAGGCCTGGGTAGTTCTAGTTTTTTTTTGTTCAGGATTGATATTTCAGTCAAGAGTTTGGTTATTTTAAAGTGTGGACCAGTGGTTCTCAACCTTCCTAATGCCACGGATCTTTAATACCATTCCTGTGGGTCGCGACCCATAGGTTGAGAACTGCTGGTCTAGACCCTTTCCTGTCTTGGCTTATATTCTCCGGTGAATGCACGTGTTGAATTTTGCAATTGATTTTAGGGTGACAGGGCCAGTTGGAGCAGATAGCATAGTGCTTATGAATCAGATTGCCTGGGAGGATGAGTCAGTTCACCCAACTGGGTAACCTGGCACAAGTTATTAAAATTATTTGTGTCCCAATTTCCTCATCTATAAAATGGGGATGATAATAGCACATACCTCAAAGGGTTACAGTGAAAGATGAAAGGAGATAATACATACGTGTATAAAGTCTTAGTAAAGGGTCTGACATAACGTAAATGTTCCATAAATTTTAGTTATTAATTATCATTGTTATTTTTCTGAGCATGTGAAGATGAGTAGACTGGGCTTATGTAGTTTAGGGTCATTCTGGCACCATTATGTGTATGTGTGGGTACCTGCATGATCTTGCCTACCCTAGTCATCCGAAGGTCAAGTTTGGAACTTTTAAAAAAAATTATTAAATTTATTTTTAATTTTTTCAAAAGTATGCAATTTGAGACGAGGCACAGTGGCTCACGCCTGTAATTCTAGCACTCTGGGAGGCCAAGATGGTTGGATCAGCTAAGCTGGAGAGTTCAATACTAGCCTGAACCAGAGTGAGAGCTCATCTCTAAAAATAGCTGGGCCTTGTGGTGGGCTCCTGTAGTTCCAGTTACTATAGAGGCTAAGGCAAGAGAATCACTTGAACTGAAGAGTTTGAGGTTGCTGTGAGCTGTGACTCTCTGGCATTCTACCAAGTGAGACTGTCTCAAAAAAAAAAAGTCTGCAATCCAGTAGTTTTTAGTATCTTCACTACTGTCTAATCTTTTGTCAGTCCCTGCCCTTCCCTGTCCTTCCGTATCCTTCCTTTCCCTGCCCTACCTTTTCTGTTCTTTTTTTTTTGACCGGTAGCGGTTTGAACCCACTACCTCAGGCATATGGGGCCGGCACCCTACTCCTTTGAGCCACAGGTGCCGCCCAGCCTTTTCTGTTCTTTCTCTAGAAATTGTGCTGAGGCCTCCCCTGACTAAAACGTCATTGTTTTTATTGCCATGCACATCAACTCTCATTCTCTGCTGTCCTTTGTGTCACAAATAAATATATTTAAAGAATAATCAACTGTACCCCTACCTCTTTCTTTATCACCATTTTTTTGAGGGGGGCTTAGAATCACCCGTTGAAGTTGCTTACAATGCAGCTGTGGGGATCCCTTCCCAAATATCATGACTCAGTGGATCTGGAGTGGGGCCTGGGATGCTGCCTTTTAGTAAATACGCCAGGTGGTTTTGCTGCAGCTGTCCGGGGGACACCCTTCAAGAAGCATAGCTCTTAGGCCGGGCCAGGTGGCTCATGCCTGTAATCCCAGCACTTGGGAGGCCCAGGTGGGTGGATTGCCTGAGTTCACACGTTCCAGACCAGCCTGAGCCAGAGGGAGACCTCGTCTCTAAAAATAATTGTGGGTTGGGTTGGTGCTGGTAGCACAGTGGTTATGGTGCCTGCCACATGCACCAAGGCTTGTGGGTTTGAATCTGGCCCCGGGCCAGCTAAACAATAATGACAACTGCAAAAAGAAAAGAAAAATAGTTCAGTGTTGTGGTAGATGCCTGTGATCTCAGCTACTGGGAGGCTGAGGCAAGAGAATCCCTTAAGCCCAAGTGTTTGAGGTTATGAGCTGTGATGCCACAGCACTTTACTGAGGGTGACATAGTGGGACTCTGTCTCAAAAAAAAAAAAAATAGCTGGGCATTGTGGTGGGCGCCTGTTGTCACAGCTACTTGGGTGGCCGAGGCAAGGGAATCCGCTTAAGCCCAGGAGTTTGAGGTTGCTGTCAACTGTGACAACATGGCACTCTACCAAATGGTAAGAAAGTGAGACTCTGTCTCAAAAAAAAGAAGCATAGCTCTTGAGAGATGACTGACCTCTTTCTGGGGCAAGCCCATTTGGGTAGCATCTATTTATTAAGTGGGTAGTTATTAGGCTCCTACTATTTGCTAGGTGCTGAAATCTGGTTTTTGTCCCTTGTATATTTACATTAAAATTACTGTCTTGAAAATTATAAGAGCAAGAAATTGGATGTTCTCTTCTCTGTGGACAAGGAATATCTCTGTGCTGACTATCCTTTTGTTTGACATTTCTGTCTGCCCTTGCTTCTTCACTTTTGTAGTCACTGTATCTGTGATCAGCCTAACATGCTAGTTTCTCTGCTGGTGCCTTTGTCCATGCCATAATTGTTAGTGGACATACTTTTTTGTTTACTTCTCAAAACATTGCTCAGTCTTTAAGCGTCATTTTAGTTGCCACTTTTCTAATAAAACCTTAGAAAGTCTGAGAAGTTAGGGTGTTTCTTTTCATTCTTCTTACTCCTCAGGTCATTTACTGCATTCTGCCTGGTATTACAGAGAAGGTGGTACTGTCACCCCTGTGAGAACAGAGGTTCTAGTCTCATTGGCAGGGTGGCATCTTACTTGTTCTTAAACATGGTGCATTCTGCATGTAGGCTCTTGCATAAGAGCAATTTCTTTACATGCATTGTCATGTAATAGTCACCGTATAGTCACCATATGAGATAGGTGTTAGTTATCTTCATTTATAGAGGAGGAACTCAGGGTTTAAAGAATTTAAATAATTGAGGCGTGGGCTGGGCATGGTGGCTCATGACTGTAATCTTAGTACTCTGGGAGGCTGAGGTGAGTGAGCTCAGGAGTTCCAGACCAAGCTGAGCAAGATTAAGACTCCATCTCTACTAAGCATAGAAAAACTAGCTGAGCCTTTTGGCAGATGCCTATAGTCCCAGCTACTTGGGAGGCTGAGGCAAGAGGATTGCTGCTATGCCCAAGAATTTGAGATTGCTGTGAGCTGTGATGCCACAACACTCTA